GCAGACAAGAGCAATGAACGAGCTGTCACAACAATATGACAGTGTTTCTGTTCTGCCACACCGTTTGGTTGAGGAGTATCAGTACATAATGGCTGGTGTATGGTACCATCAGAAGCAAGTAACTGAGTAAACTCATTAGAGGTATATTCACCACTAAGTCACACCTGAAGCACTTTATCACATCTGAATGTTGAGTTTTAATAAGAGCTCTGAAATTGTTATAAATGCCAAGGAAATCATACATGCATTTCATAAGATAAACCCAGGTATAGCGAGAATAATCATCTATAAAAGATTCATAATAGTCTTACCCACCCTTTGTGGATACTGGTGCAAGACCCCACACATCAGAATGAATAATATCAAAAGGAGCAATAGAGCAAGACATACTTTTATTGAAAGGTAAAGCCGATATTTTTTCTAGTTTACAAACACTACAATAAAAAAATATCACAAGTTTTCAAATCACCCAAAACACCACTAGAAGGTAGAAAACTCAAACGTGATACAAGTACATGTTCCAAACGAGAATGCCAAAGATAAAACTGAGATGACAAATAACTCAAACGAAAAGAAGACAAATCAATGATGGAGGCATCAACAACATACATTTTGACAACCTCCACGACATAAAGTTCTCCCACCCTACGGCCGATCCCAATCACCTTCTGAGTGTGTTGGTCCTGTATAACATAGACGAAATCAGAAAAGAACACCCAATTACCAGACATGCACACCTGGCTGACCGAAATAAGATTCAAAGTGAGTTTGGGAATGTAATAAACATCAGGGAGAGACATATGAGGAATAGAAACAGACCCAACACCCTTGACTGTCATAAATATATCACTAGCAGACATAACAGAGATAGATTCCATGCGTGACAAAGAAGAAAACAATGAGAAATAAGGAGACATGTGATGGGTTGCACCAGAATCTAAATCCACAAAGATGAAGGTATACCTGAGGTACCGGATGAAGTAGGACCAGAATGAGACATAGATGCAGACATGGCAGTAGGATTGGAGGCCAAATACTGTCTGAAACTCTCAAAAACTTTGGGATCCAACGCAGAAGGTGGCATGTTGCTAACTCACTCAGTGTCAACTGATGGAGCAATAGAAACAACAATAAACTGTGGAGGGCGAGGTGAATGTAGCTGAAACTTTTGTTGACCAGATCTATTTTGTTGTCCCGACTGAGGCTGGCCAGATTTACCCTTGTTGACTAACAATGGACACTAAAGGGAATCATCAATTCCAGTCATGTTTTCAGTGGATAAATAACCACAACAACAGATAAGAAATCAGAGAATGAGAAGAGCAATAAACCAGCGGAAGCAACCAATCGAACAACAAGAGATCAAACAACAACAAACTAACAAAAAAAAATACCAACAAGCAAATGAACATCAACTGCAAAGGAGCATCAACCGATGCGCGCCCCATATGACTGGTACATAACCTTCTAATAACGTATCAAACCTCCGCTCTGATACCATGATAATATTGCCATATGATTATTGAAAGAGAGAAATTACAAGGTTCTCAATGAAAAACATAAATGCTACAAAGAAGAAAGGGAGAATAAATACTAGCTAAGACAAAACCCTAATGGGCCCATAAACTTGTGGGCTAATAACATATAGGCTAACACGACCCACCTATGTTCTCCCTGGTTATAATGTTTTACCATACTTTTAATGCCTTTGTTGTCGTAAATTACATTTAAGCGTATAATATGTTCAATTCCACATAGTTGGTATGTCAAAATTTTGAGCAAACGTTTGAGAAGCGACATTGTGACAAAACTTTCTATACCTGGTATGTCTACACTTGCTTCTTGTAATAAGAATAAGTCATAACATTTTTCTAAATTGTTTCTTCCATCATCTTAAGCTCCGTTTGAACCGACAAATTTATAAAGTTAGCATTAAAGTGGTGGAGCCGGAACAAATGTTCAGGGGTAGCATAATTTTTTAGCCCCTTTTTATATAATATGACTTTTTCACGTTCTAGTTAAACGGGTTCGGTTTTTTGGGTTCAAGTTAAACGTGTTCGAAATTTTTTCATTTTTATAGAAAATTTTGTCGCTATATATATTAGCAAACTTGATTTCAACAACATATATTAACTAACTTATAACCTTAAGTGCCTAATTAGTATTTATAAATTGTCTTTTTTCAACTAAAAACTTGTTTCAACAAGGAGGAGGCGGGGCTTCGTGAAGAGAAAATGGTGGAGAGGAGATGAAAAGGTTAAGGATTTGTTCCCTAAAATTTATCTTTTTGAAGCACAAAAAGATTGCAAAGTTTCACAGCAAATTATAAAGGAGATGGCATTGGATGTTCGGTTCAAATGGGATTGGAAAAGACAGTTTACAGCTACCAGAAAATATTTCAACTATAAACTTGATTTTAAGTTTCAACAACAAATAATCACTAACTATTAACCCTAAGTCCATAACTAAATAAACCTAACTGCTATTTTTTTAGTTTTTCAACACAATGGAAATTTGAAATAACCTAACAATAAATAATAGAATTGATTTTTTTTTATTTGCTTACTTGTTTCATCGTGCAAGTCGACCAGAGGGGAGCTCGTCGGATGTCGGACGACAACGGCAACAGCAAGTCGACGAAACAACAGCAACAAATCGACATGAACAGTACGTAGGGGGAGGAGCAAAGACGACACAATTCTTCATCCGTTTCCTTCTTTCAATTTTTGAAAAATAAGAGAATTTGGCTTATTACCTTATTTGTTTCATTAAACTTATTTGACTTTTGGGCTTAAAAAATTTGGACTAATTAAATATATTAGATTATTTTAAACATTTTGGGCTTTTTTGTGTTTAAATTTATAAGTTAGGAATAACCCTATTTTTTAAGGGTAGCCCAAATTTTTTTAGGACAGCACTCCGACATAAAAAGAAAATTTTTAGAAAAATTTATACTCATGACAAATTTTGAGGGGTAGCCTATGCTACTCTAGGCTCCTTCATAACTCCGCCTATGGTTAGCAACATATCTATTATGAAAAAAATACATCATCTAAAAACGTTTTGAAAGTGAATTTTTAATTTATTTATTGTGCTTGTATTAGGGGGTGTTTGGGATTGTATATTTGAAGTGTTTATTGATTTATTGCGGGTAATAAACTAACCAATGTTATCGAAGAATATTAAAACCATTTATTGAGTTAAATAAAGAGTTTTTGAAAATATACTTTCTACTTATTGACTTATAAAAAAAATAAGTTACTTCAAAGTTATACATATAAGCACAATTTATTAAACACTAAAAAAAACTTATCAACTTATAACATTTTGGTACCGGATAAACTTGTTCAAATATTTTTTAAAACTCTGTTTTAACACTAATAAACTAATAGGAAATTTAAAACTTATAGCATAAGTTGTTTTAAATAAGCACTCTTGGTAGAAACTTTTTATAATGTAGGCTTTTGGTAAGTCTTATATTTTATAGCATCTAGTTCGAATTTTGTTGAATCCCATGTTTATAGCATCTTGTCTAAGAATAGAACTTATTTATATAAACTTGATATCTAGATGATTAACATTTCTACTTGTATTAATCGTTACCAAAACTTGCACTTTTTAGTTCATGAATTTGCTATAGAAATAAAGGAGCTTGCTTGTTTTGTAACATGTATTATAAAGAAAAATGATTTAGACGCATTCATGTTACATGTCGATGAATGATATGTAGTTTATATAAAAAAATTGCAAACTTCCTTCGACTGTATTATACTAGATACATAATAGCAATAAATTAGGTATTCAACAGTCTGGTAAGATCTAGGTAAGAACTGACTGGTCAACAAGAATATAAAAGGAATAAAATATGAACCTTATTAAAACAATATTACTTCATTCATTTAAAGATCCACAACAAACAAATATCAAACTGCATGTGATTTATTTACACACATATTAATATAAGTATATAATATCAAACTGCTTCGATTGTATTATGCGAGATACACTATAGGCAACAATAAAACAGGTGCTCAACGGTCTGTTAGGATCTAGGAACTGACTGGTCAACAAAAAGCCCGAAAGGAAAAAAATCCAAACGTTGTTTACATAACATTTCATTTGAACATCTCCACAACAAACAAATATTGATCACCTGATAATTTATTTATACACATAATTGTAAGTATATAATATATTTTAGAAACAAATCTTGAATTCCATTGATTGCATTATACTAGATTATTATATAGCAATAAATGAGATACTCACTTGTCTATTAGGATCTAGGTAGGAACTGATTGGTCAACAAGAAACAGAAAAAGAATAAAATTTCAACTTTATTGACACATTACTTCAATTCATTTAAACATCTCCACAACAAACAAATATCAATCTCCTGATGATTTATTTACACACGTAATACTATAAGTATATAATATCGTTTCAGAAACACATTTAAAGAAACAAATCTTGAATTCAATCGATTGTATCATATTAAATACACTAGAGAGCAGTAAATCAATTACTCAACAGTCTATCAGGATCTAGGTAGGAACTGATTGGTCACGAAGAATGTAAACTTTATTGACACACCATTACTTGATTGACCCATTTAAACATATCTCCACAACAAACAAATATCAATCTCCTTGACTTTGTGATTTATTAACACAAATATTACTATAAGTATTTAATATCTATTCTAAAGCACATTTAAAACAACAAACCTTGAATTCCATCTATTGTTTTATACTAGATACACTATAGATGTAAATCATGTTTAGGATCTAGGTAAGAAGTGACTGATCAACAAAAAGCCTAGAGGACTAAAATTTGAACTTTATTAACCCAACATTACATGATTCATTTAAACATCTCAAGAACAAACAAACATCAATCTCCTTGTGATTTATTTACACACATATTACTATAAGTATATAATATCTTTTCAAGAAACACATATAAAGAAACAAATCTTGAATTCCATTCTCATTCACTTTTCAAGCTCCATGCCTACCCATGGTCTGCTCCCCAGGTGGGATCATAACCAGCATCGGTTGAGCCCCAAATCCAGGATGAGGAACCCTACGACGAATCTCACGCCCTTCTTGACAAAGAGCACAAGGATGACAACAAACATGAGTTGCAAAATCACAAGCTATTTCTGCTTGTTCCAGTTGTTCTTCATCCACATCACAACATCCACCACATGATTTGCTCATTGATTCCCAATTACCCTGTAAAAAAAATCGTTAATTTCATGGGATTTTGTAGGAGATATTAGCTAAAAACAAGGTTTTTAAAGAATGGAGAGTTGCCTGAAGGTTGAACTTTCTACGGATTGTTGTACGAGTGGGATATGAGAACCATGGGGCCATGCAATTCCATCCGAAAAAGGAGTTCCCAATTAGGTATAAACCAGTGTAAGGTAAGCAATGATTTGCAAAAGTTCCAGGCGTAGATCCAAGTCTTTCAACATTGCTTCCGTAAATCACACAAGGGGCCACACTCCCAAGAAGACCTGTTGTTCAATTTCACAAGTATTATGATTTTGGAAATGTAGAATCCCTAATTTGACAAGAAAAAGATGTAGAAATGTAGAATATGTAAGCTGAAATTGCTTATTTAGTTAGAATTATGCTCAGAAATGATAGAGGTTTCATGTTCTTTGATTCACAGTTAGTTTCATACAATTGTTTCAAGCTAATTCGAAAACCAGATATCGAATAATAGAAACCCTAATTCTCAATAATCAAGAATCCAGATCACGAGAAGAAATCGATTCGTTTTCAGAGAAATGATAAGAAATGGAAAGAGAAACTCACAGACTTCAAGATCGCTGCTACAGAACTCATCGTTACGACCTAGACACGCGAATAGACCTGAGTCCCATTGAGCCCTAGGCATCGGCTCTCCCATCACATTAGCACCGCCATTAGTCAATGGCAATCCGTCAGCAGTCCAGCCGTAAACAGCATGATGAAACCCTGATGCTACCGGAGGTGAAGACTGCTTCGTGTCCGCCGCCACAGCAGCTTTCTGTGAATTGGGGATCGGGGTTTTGGTGGTGGATTTCTTGTTATTTTCGTCGTTGATGGTTACGTTTGATTGTGGATCGTTGTTGGCGTCTACATGAAGAGATTGATTTGCTAAAAGAGGGCTTGATTCCTCGTAATTGGCCATGATAGCGAATCCTGCAACTGGACAATTTTAGGAGAGATCTGACGATGAACAGGCGAAAAGGTTTTGTGTAGTTTTCTGACGTTTTCAGGTTATACGAACATGTCAAGATAATTTGTACACGCTTATTATTATTATTATACTGGACTAATTCTCACGGGTTAAAAATATATCGTTAAATATTGAAAAATATATGTTTAAAATGGTTATATTATTGATATTAATTTTGACATAATATTTTGAACAATATTATTCATTGACATTAATCCACATTCCTCATTAATAAAATTAAATATAATTATCTATTTAATATTATTTTTAACAATTTTATGATTGATTAATTTAAACTTTACTTATTATTTTCTAATTTCAATAATGATGTTCATTTAAAATACAATTTATTTGTTGTTAACGTTATGTAATTTATAAATTGATGTTATTATCATTTAAAGTTATTGTTCTTTAGTTTTAAACCATTTATTATTATTAATAAGTTAAAAAATACTTTTAAGAAACTCTTAATACTACTATTAAAATGTGAAACATACACTAAATAATAAACTGATAAGATAGACAGTTTGCATTTCAAATGAGATTTGCATGGATAATATGACATATCCATGATTTTTATAATTTGATTTTATTATTTATAATTATGGTTCATTAGTTTTAAAACCACTTATTATTATTAATAAACGAAAGAAAACTTTTAAAAGACACTTTTTATTATAATTAAAAATCTTAAACATATACTAAAATATAAAGTGATAAGACAGACAATTTACATTTTAAAGAGACTTACATGAATATTATGTATAATATTGCATATCCATGATTTTTTATTAATTATTACTTTGAAGCAACACAAAAATACAAACATATATACAATATTTAATTAAATATTATCTATATCACTTTCCATAACATATGATCGATAATATGAATCTAATTTAATTTACATTAAAGTTTCAACCACAACATACAATGATTGTTTTAAAAGAATAATTAAACCAAGAAAAATAAAAAAAATTAGTATATAACAAACTTACAAATTAAAATTTTTAACATAATAAAGTGGCTAGAAAAATGATCCAAAGCCCTCAAACCAACACAAAACATTTAAACTTGTTTTCTTTGTGAATTTTGTATGTGATTTGTATTTGTATGTCTACTCAAAGAGAATGACATTTTTATAGTAGACTATCCATTAATTGCTAATTAAACATATTATATAAGTTATAAAACCTTTCATGATATGTGATTAATTACTTTAAAGGTGAAAATGTATGGGGGTTTCAAATGCATGAGGTGCTTGGAAAATTGTGTGGGGGTTTCAAATGCATGAGGTGACAGGAAAAATGCATCCTTTATAAGTAGAGTATGATATAGATTATAAAAATATCTTTGGGAAATATTTTAGTTAAAATGAGATTACAATTTAGTTTTTGCATTTAGCACTACAATTTATCACTTTTAACTATTCGCAAAATATTCTTTAGATTTTTTAAGTAAAACTGAAATTTATAGTTAAGTTGACACTGTAATGTTATATTTAAATTAACAATTTAAGTATTTTGTCCAAACTGTTCAAAAGTTGTAGCTTTAAACTGATAATGATTTACATACAACAACATATTAAATCTAATAAACTAAGTATAATATGTTAAAAGTTAAAGACATAACTTTATAAGTAGAAGTAAAGATATTATTTTAATATTAAAATTTAGTTTATTTATGATTACACTTTATGTTTGATATTTATTTAACCTTATTAACAAACTTATAATCATTATTAGAAAGACACTACAAATTGTTCAAAAGTTGTAGCTTTAAAATGATAAAGGTTTACATACAACATCATATTAAAACTAATAGGTTAAGTATAATATGTTAAAAGTTAAAAGTTAAAAATGTAACATTGTAAGTAGAAGTAAATATATTCTTTTAATATTGAAATTTAGTTTATATATGATTACACTTTAGGTTTGATATTTATTTAACCTTATTAACCAACTTATAATCATTATTAGAAAGAAATTGAAAAGTCATGAGAGTTTCAAATGAATGTGGTGAAAGGAAAAATGCTAGCTTTATAAGATATATAGATATAGATATAGATAGATATAGATAGATATACATTGTGGACGAATTCCCGCGCGTTGCGCAGTGTGCAATTATATTGTTTAAAATCTTGATTTTTATAATGGGTGTTTAGTTGTTAGAAGTTACTATGATCAAGTTAATAAAATTCATCAACGTCCGGATTAAAACGCAAGACCTTCAATCTAAAAGAAAAAAACTTCTACTAAGTGGGTTAGTCTCACATTGACGTTTAATTAAATATACATTTCAGTTTAGGTTTTATATTTAAAAATATACATAATTTTTAACTATTAGAAAAATAGTCTTATGATATTTTGATTTATGGTTGTGATTTAAAACCATTTTTATTTTAACCAATAAGTTATATGTATATATTAGGTTGAAAAATGAAGAGTTGGTTTGAACTTAGACTAATAAATGATTTTAATGATTGAACAAATCAAATTAAGGAGGTTAAAGTGAATGATTTAATTAAGTTAAAAAAAACCGAGTATGTTTGGTTAATTACTTAAAAGATCAAGAGTTTGTGTAACTTTCAAATGAATATTTTGCATTAATATGACATTTATTATAAAATAAAAACCAAGATTAGTGAATAACTAAAAAAATACACATTTTAACAATCTTGGCATTGATATTTCTTATTAGGTGTTTGTTTTATAGTTTCAACATTTATTATCATTTCTATTATTAATTATTAAGAATTTTTTTTTGTAGGTTTAAGCTGTGGAGGTAGCTTGTTGGAGCTATGTGTTTCTTCATAAAAGTCCAATTATTATTTTATTGCAATTAATGTGTTTGACTCCTTACTGTGTCAATGTTGATTTAAGAAAATCACTGCATTGATCATTTTCAAGAATATGAAACATATGAATGGATAACAACAATAGAATTAAAAACCAAGAGATACAACTTGTACAACAATTAACAACGGTAAAGGGTAAAGTTTATGGCATCATCTTTAAAACATCAATGCATCATCTCATTAAAAACTACAAATTTCCTCATAAAGCGATAAACTCATCAGCTCATTAAAGTGAATTTCTAAATCTCAATGTGAACTTCAACACAAAAACTTGCATATTGTTCAAAATGTGAGGTAATCTTCAATTTAAATATTCATTAAATCTCAGAGTGTTTATAAATAAGTTCAACAAATTATGCATATCACATTTCAAACAGAGTTAGAATCATAAAACTTGAAGTTAAATCCTCGCCCTTGATTGCTCCATTCACCAATTCAATTTTACCCCTAATAATATAAACTTATAAGAAATGGATGGTGTAGAACCTTGCCTTTCAAAAAATAATTGCTCGTACCTGTATGCTCAATAAAATATTGCATGTGTCAATTTTTAAAATAGATGTTAGAAAGTTGTCAAACCTAAGAGCTACTTTTATTCACGATTAAAAACACAATATGTGAACAAACCAACAAAAAAAAAACAATTGTTTTGATTAAAAACACAAAATGCATACCTTGCTTATTATAGATTATTGAACTTCAATATTATATTGATAACATAAGACTTTCATTTACACCAAAACAGAGAACAAAGGATCACTAATTAGACAAAAAAAGTATTTTGTTTTCGTTTAGGATATTTGTTTCTATAGAAGTAAGTATTTATAGACTAACTACATTTGTGTGAAGGGAATTTAAAAAGTCAAATTAAATTCTATAAGTTGATTAGTCTTGGAAGTTTCAAATGAATGAGATTCATTACTTTGAAGGTGAAAATGTGTGGGGGTTTCAAATGCATTAGGTGTTGGCAAATTTTTATGGGGGTTTCAAATGCATGAGATTCAAGGAAAAATGCTAGCTTTATAAATATGTATGATTTGTTATTACAAAAAAGTATCTTTACATTTTTACTTTTCAAGCATCATATTTTGTTTTTGTAAATAAAGGTATCAAATTTTGTAAAAAAGTTCGCTATGAACACTATGTGAATAGAGGTGACCTCGATATAGAAACCCAAAGTTCATAAAACGAAAATCTGACACTATATGGTATAAGTTTGGTTCCGATATTAAGTTCATATTAGTGGGTTATAAATGTTTAAAGTTGAAGAAAAAAATTTACACAGAATTCTAGTAAGAAATTTTTTTTTCTAGAAAATGTAAATTTACAACTACTTATAGTTAGGGTTATGTGATTCAGGTTATATTCATCTTAGTATATATTTTTAGTCTAACATGTAGCTAAGGTAGAGAAGATGTATGAAGAAAAAATAGTTAAATTCTAGTTTGCATGAGAGATTTATGAATGTTCAAAGTTGAGGAAAAAATTTGCACAAGTCTTGCAAGAAAAAATTAACTATGGAAAATTTATACTTTCCATTACTAATGTTTATGGTTATGTAACTTAGGCTATACTTACGCAAATTAGTTAATTCTTGAGTCTAACATATAGTCAAAGACAAGCAAAAAGATGCAAGAAGGACGATAAGCTCATTCAGGCTTGTGCGAAATATGGTGGTTGTGATGAAATTTGTTTAAAATATGGTGATTTTAATAGAAAAAAATAACATAGAGTGCTTAAACCGGAAATATAGACAAAATATGATGACTTTTGTACTTATCCATTTTACAAATATTACCTAAAATAATCATAATATTTTTACATAGACGATTGAAAAAACACGTTGCATGTATTGTAATATAAAGTTTAAGGATTTTAAAGGGTAATAAACTATGTTTCGTGTATACATTTAGTCCATTAACTTTTCGTACACGATTTACTATTAAATTTGTATTTGTTGTTCATAAAACACCATTTTGATCGGCTATTGCATGTTTTGCCAATTTCTAGCAACACTGACATCTTCGACGGGTCTCTGGTCATCTTCTTCAGCCAACATAACCTTTATGACGATCTTCTCCATGTTTCACATCCG